AATGATTATCTTTTCCAAATTTGGGCAGTCAAGAAAGTAAAACACATCCTTTTTTATACAAGCATTGATAATTAACTAGCTTAAGAGGTCTACGTAGACATATGGAAAAACCAATATAAAGCAAAACCCAATCATAAGGCCTAAAACTAGCCCCGACAAAAATAATTAGTGCGGTAAAACTTCTGTGAATTAAACTCTTTCTTTTTTGCTGGTCAAAAAAAAAAAAACTCTTTCTTTTCAATGGTTAATTTATTTACAACACCTGAAGTCCCCCCCCCCCAAATAATGCTCAGTAACTAAAGTAATTTTTAATGCAATGTTGTCAATGAGCATCCTATATTTTAGGGTAATAAGTAGAAGAATATTTTAAGATGCAACTTAACCCTTCTCCCTTCTTTATAACCAATATAATGTTACAAGTTTGGAAGCATTTTTAATTCTACTATTAAAGCACTGTACATTATGTTTTTATGTGCTCTACGTGTAATAAATACCATAAGAATAATAATTTGCCATTCTCAGACTTAGTTTTTTTTTTTTTTGGTAAATATGCTTTTATTCGTTTGAATGGACTGTCTTACCAAATATTACCTGAGTAAATAATTTAATTCAGAAGGCTATTTTCCATAAATCAGGAATCAATCTTATTTTAATACTTACGTCTTTACTCATCCATTTCTTTATTATTACCATATTTCAATTCTCAGTAACATGTTTGGTCCAAAAAAAAAAAATCTCACAGTCACATTAACGTAGAACTCTAAAAACATTTCAATAGTTTTAATTTTTTAAAAAACTAATTACCAACAACAATTGATTCAAGTGATTTGGCTCTTATTTCACTTAAATAAAATCTCGAATTTTAACCAACAGGCTGTTGGTTGGAATGGTAAGCGACCTCACCCTGTAAGAAGGAAAATACAAATTCAAATATTAAAAAATCTATTTGTTGAAAGAGCTTTAACCTTAATATTTTTGGCCTAACAGAAACTAGTTTTAAATCCAAAATGACTTGAGGTACTCTGAATTATTAAAAAAAAAAACTCGAATTATAGCTTTTGTAGATATGTGATCTAACTGTAGATTTGATTAGTCAAACCCAATATATAAGTCATGGAAATTGATTAGTATTTAAAAATAGCTAATTAAATATAATTATATTTCCCAACAAAAATAAAAAAAGGGTAAAAGTGTATTTTTGGTTCATCAACTTTACATATAGTTTCATTTTTATCCATTAACTTTATAAAATATTTTTTTCAATCCTCTAATCTAAACATTATTAGTTTTATTAACAAAAATTAAACATATTTTTTCAATCCTCTAATCTAAACACTATTAGTTTTATTAACCAAAAATTAAATACCGAAATTGAAATTTTAAATATCAACAAAAAAATTATCATTTAAAATTAACGATAATAGAGGTAAGGAAAAAAAATTATATTTTATAAGAGTAAAGGACTGAATTAAAACATTTTATGAAATCAAAAAAATTAAGTATGCATTGTACCTTTAAAAAAACAAAAGAAAAAGAGACTCATGCGTTGCGATCAATATGCCTTTAGTTTGGAACATGCAACCATAGCGGGAAACGTGTTTTCGTAATGTTTGTACCAAAAACAAGAAACGCATTAACACCATCATGACACATTGTGCCCATTAACCCAATTTTTTTTTTTGAAAAAAAACAGAGAGAATATATTCCTCTTAGACTCACAACAATAACATTTTCTCATAATAATCAATCCTGCTGTATCTATATCTATATATATATATAGAGGTTCTCTGAAGAGGGTCTGAGTTAATATTGAGCTTGGATCCCACTAATAATGGAGAACCAAAGCATGAATGATCAGTTGATAGATAACTTAGAGTATTATGATTTTGATATTGACTATGGTTTTTTAAACGAAATCTTGAACAGTGAAACACAAGAGGACAACCAAATTGTTGATTCAAATTATTTTGACATTTCAGAGCTTGATGATCTTATTATTAGTGTTGATGATCAAAGAGGAGTTTCTAGTAATCATCACCAGAACAATGGAAAAGAAGTAGGATGGGTCAAAAGAAGAAAGTTCGAGAAAGGAACTGTGGAGTATGCTCTTTGGAAGCAAGAGATGAAGCTTAAGAACAGGGTCTCAGCAAGAAGATCAATAGAAAAGAAGGAGGTGATTGATTGATTGATTAATTAATTAATTAATTAGTTGGATCAATTATATTAAATGGGTTTTTGTTTTTATTTGATGAGATTTGAGTTTATTAATATTTAGTGATGGTCCTAATTATTATGATACAGGCTTATATGAGAGAACTTGAGGGGAAAATTCAAAGGCTGCGGGCAGAAAATGAATTTAGGAGAAGAGTTATGGAGGTAACTATTATTATTGTAGAGGAAAAAAGTAACCTTTTTTTTTTTTTTATCAAATACTACCTCCAATCCTAATTATAAGAGCTAGTTGACTAATTTGAGGAGATTAAGAAAAGAAATTAAGTTAGTTATTTGTAATAAATAAGTATTGTCTTTCTTAAAATATCCTTACTAATTAAATATATTGGTTAGAATTTTCATTGTTAGAAGAATTACCTTGGAAAAAAATTTATAAATATGAGAAACAAAATGGATTGGGTTCTTATATTTAGAACCAAAATAAAAGTCAAACAAGATCTTATGTTAAATACCGGAGGTAGTACTAATTAGCTAAATTCGGATACCATATTAGAAAGTTTTGTTGATCTTACAATTTTTCTTTTGACACAAGACATATATATGTAGTAACCATTCAACTAATATAACTGCAATTGTGTAGATTTTGCCAAATTCCAAACCGGCTGGTAGCTTAAGTGGATTAAGAAGAGCATTTTCCACATCTGATTTCTATGTCACTAACCAGGTACTTAATTACATTAATTAACAGAACCATATCTGCCTAGAAATTTTCAATGTTTCAAAATTTATTACGTAAAGCTTGAAACTGAGATGGATGTTTTTTCCTGAGATAATATTTTCAACCCAAAAAAATTGCTTTATCTTGCAGGTGGCTGCTGAGGAAGAGGTGGGCATGTATTTGTGAAGAACCATGACTCACCCAAAAAAAAAAAAATGAAATTATAGATATCTCTTTTATTTAAAGAATACTTGTTATTTTTTTAATTTACATTAAATCATGATTTGGTTGGAACATATGCACTCGCAAAATCCAAAAATGAGAAATTTACACGCCTGATTATGTGTTGGGTTGGGTCAAGCCCAATCAGAAGCCCAATATGCTTTTACGTTTTGGGTTAAGCCCAATATTCATATTCCTAGTCTAGCTCTTCATATCTATGGGTGAAGCGAGTTGCAGAACAGTTGGATTCTACGCAATTATTTTCTTTGGTTTTTCCTTGTTTGGTCTCTGAGAAATCAACCCCTTCTTCTTCCTTCTCTGCTCCTTTATTGGCTTCGCCTTCCTCTCTTTCTTTGGTTTCGTTTCCATAAGCGACAGCGACTCTCAGACTGGACGATTCTTTGTCGGAGAAAACGTTAAAGAGCCAAGGGTCGAAACTTGCAAGCGAATATTCCTGCACCACAAGCGGGGGAAAAATTCCTATGCCATGAATTATTGAATAAATATAAGTTTATGTGTGAACAGGTCAACAAATCAGAGTGGCGCAGCGGAAGCGTGGTGGGCCCATAACCCACAGGTCCCAGGATCGTAACCTGGCTCTGATATGGAGTGGCTTCCGAGGCTTTAATTTTTCGGACCGTTGGATATTGATCTCGTCTCATCGAACAGTGCTTATATTGCCACGTCGCATCTAGACATGCGTTGTGTCCTTCTTTAAACGGCACTTGCCTCTCGACACGTCACATCTGAGATTCTACTTACGCGTTGCCTTCGTCTTTAGTCTTACGATTTCATTTCTTTTCCAAGTAAAACAGGCAGCTTTTTTTTTTTTTTAGCCAAAACAAAAAATAACTATTTTCAGCAAAAAAATTATTTTAACAAAATTTTAAATCCCATATATATTTTTTTATTTTCCAAAAATAGTGGTGTATACATATTTTCTTAATTTTCAAATCATAAAATTATATCAGGCAAACCAAATCTGTTAAAACATAAGAAAAATGCTAAAGCAGCAGAATTAAAATTGCATAGAATCCAACAAAACAAGGAAAAAAATTCAAAAAGAATAAAAGAAGATTGCGATTTGCAAGGCAGAAGAAAGAAATTACACCATTCATAATCGATGAATAATGCCGCATCTTATAAACAAACAAACAACAAGCCTTATCCCATTAGGTGGGGTCGGCTACATGAATCACACGACGCCATCGTGCTCTGTCAACAACCCAATCCTTAGATATGTTGTTGATTAAGAGGTCTCGTTCAATGACCTCATTCAACATTCTTCTCGGTCTTCCCCTGCCTCTTTTTATGGGACTCCATCTTGTTTGATCCACCCTCCTTATCGGGGCCTCCAAAGGCCTTCTCTGCACATGTCCAAACCATCTTAAGCGATTTTCAACCATTTTCTCTTAGATAGGTGCCACATCGACTCTTGTCCTGATCTTTTCATTTCGAATCCTATCTTTTCTTATATGACCACACATCCATCTCAACATCCTCATTTCTGCTACTCCGACTTTGTCTCTTGTTTTCCCTTTATTGCCCAACATTCACTACCATACATCATAGCTGGTCTTATAGCAGTCCGATAAAATTTTCCTTTAAGTTTCTCAGGTACCTTCTTATCGCAAATAACTCCGGTAACTTTCCTCCACTTTAACCAGCCAGCTTGTATTCTATGAGAAATGTCTCCATCAATTTTCCCATCCTCCTGTATAATGGATCCTAGGTATTTAAACTTTGATACTTGAGGAATAATTTGCTCTCCCAATAATGCCGCATCTTATAAATTTGAGTTTTTACATAGATGGTTACAGAGAAACGGGAAAAACATTTTAACCCTGAGATGAAACTGCAAATGTGTGATTGAGGAGCTCCTAAAAGAAATGAAGAAAAGAATTTTGCTTGATGGCGTCCGAAGGCCTAAATGAATCATTTACAACAATCATTAGTGTATAACAAAGTACAATTAGTGTTACTTATTCAGTAATAATTACAGAGGCCAGAATATTTACTAGACACAACTCTGGCCAGCAAGCTGTCAACTTTTATCTGAAGAGTGACACTTAATGTACAGAATACCAAAAACGAGATCGATGCTGCTCCTGCAATCCCGAAGAACAAAATTGATGTATAACTAGTTAGTTGCAAGAGAGATGGGTAATCTCTCAAATAGAATTCTGGGTTGAAGAACAAAAGAATTGCATGGTCGAGATCAGAAAAATTCCCCTGCATAACAATCCCAGCAGATAAATCAAGTCCAGCTGATGGAGCGCAATCAAACAGACCGCTAAATCTGTCTGCTGCAGCATCATTAATCAAGTCCAAGCTGATGAAAGGAGAAAACTTTGTGCCTGACAGCAAGTATGGAGTGAAAATGCAGGAATATCAGCTTGCTCTCACCATTGTTCAGGGTCAGTCGACCAACCAAAGGATGGTTCATTCACTATTTCGCCAAGAACTCCTTCTCAGCTAGACTGAACATCACCCTCAGACGTTCTTGCAGTTTTGTTATGATGTTCTTTGTGATCCTTTTTGGACGCTTTGTGCTTTTTAGCCATTCAATTCCAAAGAATACCTGAACTCTGCATCCCTTTGCTTTCGGGGGTAAATCCTCTATTTGATAACGGAGGTGTAGCTGCAATACATTTCAACACATCACTCAATGGTGCAGGATAAGAAAAATAATCTGGGTAGACAACAAACATATACATAGAATGCTAGAAAACAAAGGCAGTATGAAGTTTTTTGTAATAAGGAACCGAAAGCAGGAAACAAGGTTAATCTGGATTCACCCACATTAAAATGGTCACCAAGAGGAATTCCATGAAGGTTCATAACCTCTTCCAGAAGCCAGCCCTTTCCATCCAAAAGGGGAGATCTTTGTTGTGTGCTTGTCACTGCACCACCAAACTGTGAAACATGCTTATCAAATCTGTAATATATGGCCCTCTCATAGACATCTCTGTTCTCTGATACCCAAGGGGTGTAGGAATAATTAAGACAGCCACAGTTCTCCATGACCTTACGATCTAACTCTCCTCCATTGAACAGCTCCATGCAGAAAGTGGCCTTAATTAACCAAATGAAAAGGATTACTGTGATGAGACAAACATCTGAAAAAGAAAATTAACTAGCAAACTATAGATAATTTAAAGAGTAGAGCAAGTATAAACCATACAGACAGATTACTGAATATATGTTCACGTGTGTGTGATGGGTGCGTGCGTGACTGTGTGTGTGTGTGAGAGGGAGGGAGGGAGGGAGGAGAGATTACAGGAACTGGAAGGGTACAAGAATAAACTTCAGACATGCTGACATCATCAAGGCCAAGGAATGTCCCGTTCTCTTCACTAGCGAGGCTTTTGTTCTCAGACTCTTCTTCAACCATCTGGACTTTCTGTTCAGGACTCAAAGATCTGGCCTTCCAGAGAGCCATGATTGTCCTATATCAGCACCATCAAGGTTTCTTAATAACATAGGATATCTCATACTTTTCTATTTCACCACTTACACCGTGTCATTATTACTTACTATTTCATAAAATACCAGCACTTATGGATACACAATTGTCAGAATTTGGATGGCCAAGATTTAACGTGCTGGGCGGCCATTAACATTTACACCAAATTATAAACATAAAAAGGGTTGTTGAGAAATATAACCCAAGTTGACATGAAAGGATAATCAAATAGTTAAATGGAAGACGAAAAGAATAATGCAAAGGAAACAAGTTCATAAAAAATCATGAAGTTTCCCACCTACCTGTGTGCTACGTTAAAAGACACAAAGGACTGAAAATGAAACTTCAGCCTGCCTTCATCATCTTGTGTTTTTGCCCCATGCCTTGCATCCATCCCTTTTCCTGGCCGAAGAGTTATAACAACTATTGGACTCCCCATTGAAGAAAAATTAGGGTCAATGACCTTGATGTCTTCAATGTCCTCCCAAAGAAAAAAGAATTTTGTCTTTTTTCCAAACAAATTTGCATGAAATCCAATTATTCTTGGTGATAGAAATAGGCGCCCCTACACAGAAACAAAGGCCACTTGTCATGATGATACTATAAAAGCACGTAGCAATTAAAGCATAATCAAAAGAACTCGCCATTTCAGCCAACATAATGTGCTTGATAACCCCACCTGCATGGGCATTTTTCTTTTCAAATGGCAGGTGAAATCATTGATGAGAAATTCCTCTGGTGGAAGCCCAAAGACTTTCTGAAAGGCTGAATTTGTTTGAGGCGACCGCAAATTAATCTGCAATTGGTTATAAAATATCAAGAATAAGCCAGAAAAAAGGTTGCCGAAACAGCAGAATGCGTGTGCGTGAGTGTATGAATATATCACTAATAAACAGAATGCCCGGACAACATGGCAAGAAGCATACCTTCTTCCCAACCTCTTTCTCCATTTTACTCAAATAATCTCTTACAACATTGCAACCTCTAGTGTTCTCCAAGAAAATTCTCAAATGCAGCTTGGACTGGTATGCCAGAGCCAATTTCCCTTCAAGAGGAACCCATATATCAGCGAGATCTGAAATATTTCTCTTTAGAAAATTGATTTCAGCACGTCCAAGAGATGCAGCTTGATCAAAAGGTCCATCAAAATCATAAACTTCCACCTCCAGCACAGAAGGAGGGTCATCCATTGCATCAAATTCAAATATTTCTGCAGACACAGATAATGTTCTTAACAAAAATAAAGCTATATTTTGCACAGTAATCCAGAATAATCACTATATTCATCCTTCATCCAGGTATTCAGAATATGAGTTACCAGCACAGATCATGATAAATGATAACATAATATTCACCATTCCATAGAGGATCAGATTTCTGAAACTTGATAGAACTGGTTCGTGTTTTCCCATTGCAAGTAAACACTATATAAGGATCAGAGAATCCACTTGAATCAACAGCCGCTAAATTGCTTCCTTCAATCAGGGCAACAGTCAGCAACCACCCATCTCCTTGTGCTTTAATTCCATGATCACTACCTATAATAGAGTTCCAAGAATAATCAAAATAAGAGAAAACATAAAAGACACTGACAATAAGTACACAAGTCCCAAACAAATATTCGACAAGAGAAAAACAAAATCATGGTCACTCTGATTAAAAAACCAACATTTGTTCAGAGAGATAATGAAAAGACAAATTGATCAAAATAGTGTCTGAAGGCTAACAAATCATCTGAATCAGGCAATTCAAGCAAGAAATGCCAAGTCCTGCCATTCTGGCAAGTCAAAGGCATTTGTTTCCATCAAGTCTAAGTGACCTAATGCAACCTCATAACTAACAACTAATTTTTTTTTTTTTAAATGAAATAGACCTGTGCATTTGGCTAATCAGGTACAATAGTGGAGTCTGGAGACCTTGCAACTGCACGTGGATATTTCTGTTCTGTTCTTTGGCTGCAAGAGAAGTCTCAAATTTCCCTTCCAGCTAGCATCTGTTATTTGGTTGTAAGAGAAGCATACTATCTGTGTCTTCTGGTGAGAAGTTTTCTATTCGCAAAATCTATATCTTTTTGTTTTTCTTTTGCCATAACTAAAGACATATATTAGACATATATATCATTTATATGATATATTTCAGGCTAATTTTCATTTTGTCCACGAATTGCATGATTCAAGCCAATTTTTTGATATACCTAATGATTTATAATCCAAAATCTAACTTTCCAATTCATAACTTGGATTGCAATTTGATAACTATGGTCCAGCATACATTATCATTTATACAGGTAATGGAACTTGTTATCATGCAACTAAAAGAATTTAACAATCATAAAAGGCATTCCATTTGCTCACACATCTGGTTCCTGTACTCAGCAAAAACAAATTCCTGGTTCCAATTCGTGCCAATAAAAAAGTGATTTTTACCAGTTTTCCCCCCTTTCAAAAGTAACGGTTCATTTCTAATGTTAATTTACACATATTCTATGCTTTCAAGCACCTTGTCCACATAACAAAATATCCCCCAACACCTGTTCTCTGTGTTTCTGAAGTTCCAAAACTAGTTGTTCTATCCTATGTAATGTAACTTGCCAATTTCAAATGGATGTTTTACAATTATTTTGACGATCAGTAACTTTGAATGTGTACTTCAAGGTCTTTCTCATTAAGAAGTGCAAATCTTTATAGAAGTAAGCTCTATTAGTATATTATTAGCACCTGCCTGGAGTAAAACACCATTTTCCACCAATGACTAATTGTCCTGCAACTTAAATATAACAGGTATAGGCTAATTTAGAAATTTAGTTTTGAGTAATTTATACAGGGCCTTCTTTGATGGAACCGCAGGGGCCATTTAGCCAAAGTATTCTCACTTTGTTTCAGTTTCTCTTCCCTTGTTTGTTTCTTTTTAACCTAACAGGACCTGATGTCATTGGACTTTTCACTCCTCTCTCTCTCTCTCTCTCTCTCTCTCGTTGACTTGTTTTAAGAACCAAAAGAATTTTCACAAGATATTACATTTCTTCCAATACTGTCAGATAATTAAATATAGCCAATACAATTCTCAAATTAAACATCACGAAAAAAGAAAGGAAGGCAATTGTGGAGTTACCATTTTGTGCTCTGGCCTGCATAAAGCGTGAAATTAAACCCAACAATCGTTCGCCTTGAAGAACTATGACAGCACAAACAACAAATTCACCAATTGAGTCTGGCAAGTCAAGCCCATCAAACTCAAGCCCTTGAACTTTACTGGGTGCAGCCATCCAAATGTGGACAAGAACATACAATACCATGAAAAATGTTAAGACAACAGTGAAATTGGCAAAAAACTGGACTGCCAGCTTCCAATCTGACGGGGGCTCTGCCTGTAGTGATGCCAAAACTTGTTCCTTATTGGAGCCAAGATCCTTTGAATCAACAGGTTTAACAGTCTGAGATAACAAATCTGCAAACTGATCATAGTTGTCCTTCACACCTTGACGAGCCCCATTTTCTATCATTGATTTCATCATGGTACTCTGTAAGAAATTCATTCGCCATGATATCACCAGATGTGAACACTGTTCTCCTGATGGCAATTCATGCCCAGGTGTAATTACAAAGAGCAATTCTACCCTAAAGGTGCTCCCATATGTAACATCTGGAGTGCTGACACTTGCTAGGACGGCAAAATTCTTTCCATCAGCTTTAATATATGTTTGGTCCTCAAACGCTTTGACAGCCTTGATTAATCTAGTGGGAGCCTTGATGTATGTAAGTGATCTTTTCAAGCTCTTGCCTTCATTCTCAAATTTCCAAGGTCCTACTTGGAGTTCTGTAGTGCCTTGGAAATCTGCCAATGTCTTGAGGAAATCTGAATCAGGTGAAAAAATTAACGTATTCAAGTCTTCTGGTGCAATGACATACAGTTGATCTATCAGCACTCCTCCAGGTAAATTGCTTGGAATTTCAGAGCCTTGATCTACGGACTGAATTTTTCCCATAACATCTTCAAAAGTTTCATTAGAGGACTGATCCTCAGTCTTGATCTCATCAACCTCATCTTTACTATTTTCGGATGAATCTGTGTCCACGCTTCTCTCAGGTACTGTTGAAGTGATATCAGAACTTTTATTGAACATTTGAGCAATTCGACCAGCTAATGATTTTTGGGTAAAGGATTTTTCATCCTTAGATGTTGTGGTTTCTTGAATTCTCTTTGGAGATGAGCATGAACTGCTGGTGAGAGATATTGAAGGTGATTCATTAGATGCATTCGATGGTTGATCACCACTACTATTTGAGTCGGAGGATGAATTATTCTGAGAAAAATATATGCTTAAACGAATCTCCCCTGTCCAGCAAACAACTGTCACAATCTGTGCAGCAAATTGCCCACAACATAAATGAAAGCTATAATTTATAATTTATCAAATTTGTTTCTACACTTAGTGAGCAAATTATATTCTCACAGGTCTTGGCTGCTTAAATTACATGAAATCAATATAACAAATCCACGACTTTAACTTAGCAATTAGGCAAGCAAGTAAAATTAGAAAGGAGAAATAGAAAGAACTGTGTCTAGTTCTCTGTAGATTTGTTATCTGATTCTTCAATAAAAATACGAGACGTATATAAAATTCATTGCAAGACCCAATTATGAAACGCTAAGCCTAAGCAAAATCATTGATATTTCCACAGGAGAAACTAATGCAAAAATATTAGAATAACTAAATTCCCTCCCAATATAAAATCAGCACCATAGCAAACAAGGTATAAGTCTTGCCATATAGCATACCACACTCCTTGTTCTTGGACTTCTTGCTTTTGGGCTGCAAAGAATACCAAGCAGTGCCAAGAGATTTAATCTCCTCTTCAAATACAAGTGAAACTGGCACTTTGAGCTGTCCCACGAAGTCATCATTGAAATACCTATCTTCATCCATTACAGAGAACTGCAGCTCCTCATTGAGATCATCAACCCGGAAACTAAATTCTTCATCCCACTTCGGATTCAAGCTCTTCTTGACCACTTTGGTCTTGAACTTCTGCCTTCCCAACTGTATCCTCACGTACGGATCACTTAACCCATTGGGATCAGTTGGCGGCAAATTCTTGGCCTCAATTACCCGAACTACAAGCTTCATTTTTCCAAGAATGGCAAATAAACCAGAATCCCAAAGCAAAATACGAACTTCAATCACCCTAAGAGATCAAAGCTAGTCCAGAAAGACCTCCCCAAGAAAAAAAGAACAGCGTATGCAGAAGAATATGATTAGGACTAGCGTACAGCAAATGAATGAAAGAATTGGAAGCACAACGCCCAGAAAGTGATCCCAAAATCAGAAAAAATTACAGAACTCAAGCGTAAAATCTTGACCTTGAATATACCAGAAAATGCAGCAGAAACTGCTGATCTGTGTTGTAATCAATTCAAGAAAGAACTATTCATTTCGGACTGAACAGTGGTGATAAAAAAAAAACTGAGGAACACGAAGAAAATTCATCAGTAAGGGAAACGATGGGAATTTGAAAGCGAGAAATTGCAAAGAAAATCAATGATTGAACCCAGGAACCTTACACAGAGACGTATTTAATGGAAAACAAACATAAAGACTGTAAATGGAAAACTTTGATGTCCGAAACGGGAAGAGAAGAAGAGGGAACGCAGATTTCAACTTCAAAAGTTCATGGACTTTTTTTTCCTTTCGCAGTGAAAGAAGCAGCCACTAGCCACCGCGTGTTCAATGTTTGACTATTTGACCCATTTTTAATCGTCTCACGGTTCTGACGCAACCACGGAGCCATATTATTATTTTTCTTAATTCTTTTTTTTAATATCAACAATAACTTAGTTGTAGAATGGATAATAAATAAATTTAAATAATTAAAATCTTTAGAACTTTGGTTATATAATATTAAATTTGTAAAATTAATTTACTAATGACAAAATAAGCGAGTTAAAGTTACCTTTTTCCCGATATGTTTAAAAACTTTGAAGGGGATACAAGCTTTATTATTTTAAAAAATAATTAATTAAAATGGTAATAACTTAATTAACTACGTGAGAGACCAAATCAATCAATTGCCAAAGTAAAAATCAGATGGGTGTATTTGCTAGAAATGTCAAAGTGGAAGAAGGTTAATTGTAATTACTCTACTAAGTTTGAAATAATCAATTATTAAAAAAAGAAAAATGCTCATAAAGAAAGCCAAACATTAAATGTAGTATGAATGGCATCGGTGGACTGATTCAAAGGCAAGAGAACTGGGCAATGAATTTTCAATTTTGAGATTGGAATGCAAGAATAATGAAAGAGCCATCTTTGATCTTTATTTAAATGGACCCCACAATAAAGATGTCACCCTCTTTTTGGGGCAAATGCAATCATGATCATTGCTTATATAAATATTTTTTGAGCCCTTTTTCATGTGTTTTGCAGTTATACTTTTGTTCTGGCCAAAAGAAAAGGTTATCCTTTTGTTTATCCTTAAAAATTAGTCATTCATTCTTTAACAGGTAAATTAATTAAATATAAACCTAGGTCTATAATATCATATATTAAAAGAACTGCAATTAATAGGAGTAATTTCAATGTAAATAATTAGGAGTTGTTTAAGGAAATCAATACATATTTTGATGGTAGCATGAAATTCCTGCCATCTGTTTTAATCAATTGATTGCAGTGAAATTTGTAATGTAAAATTATTCATGCTAGAAGCAATTTTTTTAAATCAGCCTCATAGCATATAAAATATATATATGCAATTAAAAACTAATTAATTTGAAGCTTTCATTTAACATGAACCCCATTTTTTTAATTTCTAAGATTGATCCCCAGTCTAATAGTTGGGATGTTTTGAGTGAAAACTAAATCATAGTTTTAAAATTTGAACCAAAAAAATAAATACAATACTCGCTAACAAGAACTTGGATTATCTACGAAGAAAAGAACCAGTCTTTTTAAGTAAAAACATAATTAATTATTCAAATGAGCAATTTAAAGTTATGCATATGATTCATTCACAAGTTTTTATCATTAATATTAATTAAAATAAATAAAAAAACCAAAATTTAAATTATGTAAGTTGATCAAATGGAAATGACTCATCATCTCTCACGAAACAAAGATTCAATTTATAAGCATGACTTGAAAACGTGGAGGAAATAAGAATGTCCTTAACTTGTGGTTGTAGGTGACCACATTCTGGAAAGCTAAAGCTTCCTCTAATTTGTTTTTGTATTTGAAGAAGCATATTTAAGTTAAAAAAAGTTAGGAAAGGAGAATAATAATTAGGGATCCAATAAATAAATAAAATAAATATTAGAATAAAAAAATTTTCAGTTTTGAATATGAAAAGTATGAGTACTGAAATATGAAAATTAAAATTTAAGTAATGCTCAGATGCTGATTAATGTTAGGTCAAGAAATTGTTAAGTAGGGACATGGGTATTAGTTCCTTCATAGTTCATACGGTCAATTGCAGCATCATAGAAGCTTCGCCAAGATAAAAATTCAGTTTTAAGGAATAAAGGACCGCAGAAAAATCAAAAGATTTTTTTAAGGTAATAAAGTTCTTACTCATGTGTGAAGAATGCTCATGTTGATTTGTGGATGTATTATTCTTTTTTTATTTTGATACCTTTAAATTTTTAAATAATGAAAAAAATATTTTGTCCTCAATTTGGAAACAGTTATTTAAATGCGTAAAATGAAAGTAAGACTTGAAACAAATAAATACAAATAATTTTTTTTATGGAATTGATTATTTTGACCAAGTCCAAATAGAATTGAATTTGAGGGACAGGCAAGTGGCAAATTGTACATTATATGCTGTCTTTGAATTGAATTGAGGCGCAGACAAAAATATTTACGCCGAAATGGTTATAAGTAATTTACCTAAACATGAAAAAAGTTTAACTTAAAAATTTTAAATTGTTATCCGAGGATTCTGCGGTCTACGTGTTTATTTACTGCTTCTTTTAGATATGGAGGTACTACTTTATTTGTATCTGTTAGATTGCTTTTTCATTTGTAACTTTTGTCTGTTTTAATGTTCTAGTGATTCAATTAACAAAAAAATTAACTCTGAAGTCTAAATTTTAAACATAAATTGGTGACATGGGATCTGAAATCTGACCCATTATTTTCTTTTAAAAATTATATATGCAAATATTAAATCACAGTTACATCAAATTTTTTAATGACAAAAAAGTCGAAAACATATTGTAGTTAATATGATTCATTGCACTCATCATATTATATTGTTCTTACTAATTCATCTTTTCTGAATGAATTGTTTAAATCCCTTGACAAATTGGATTGATCCACTGCGCCTTTTTTTTTCTTTTTTCAAATAGAACTATATCTAATTTGAATTACATGACAGGAAAGAAAAGCAAAAAAAAAAAAAACAAGAAGGTGAGCGGATTCCTCTAAAGTTTTAAACAATATTTAACAGACATTTACTTTTTTATTTTTATATTACTTTGGTGGTGAGGCAGCTTTTTAACAGTACCTCACCGCGCACCCTAATAGAAAACATTGGCCTGGAAGATAAGCAAGACACCGCCCCAAAAACAAATCTGAAAAAAAATCAGAGAAATTCATTGATAGCTAGATAGGTGCTATTGGAAAGTGTACAGAACAAAATACAAGAAGATCAATCTTTAATGAACTAGAAAAATTCCAGCTTGAAAACATGATAAAAAGCTTCGCAATCCATTTTGCAGCCTGCACCTTTTTCCTCAGCCTTAGCTTTGCATTCCAGTGTCTTTTATTTCTGCCTCTTGTATATCTTAGCCAAGAAGGACTTCAACACTGCTTGAACAGCTTTATTGGGACGAGCTTCAATGGAAGATACAAGCTTCTCATAGCTCTTGCTCTCATACTCCGCAAATACACCCTGTTGGTTTGGAATTCAGTGAATGAACCATAATAAATACAGCCTTCAGTCTTAAATATAAAATCTAGTTTGCAATGCAATCTTATATTTAGGACCAGAGGTAGTAGCTTGTAATAAAACTTAAGATTGAACTCCAGCATCTTAGACCACTTGAAAACTTTGACACTACTATGTCAAATGCCCGTAAATAGTTTTAGTGTGCCCTTTGATGACGATGGAAGCATGGCTTTCTTGTGTTTATCTTCCATTTTAATTGACCGTCATGATTTTTCTGTCTACTTTTGCCATGAAGGTCATCTTTTATGTCTTGGTACGCAAAAATATATTTTATCAAGGATTCCGTTTTCTACTAAATTATAATGACCGTGCATAATGGATGAAGCTTAAACCTGGAGATCAAGCTCTTTGTATAGGGCCTTCACTTTAGCAACGTTTGCAGGATCAGGCTTCCCATAGTTCTCCTGAGAATCACAAACAGTAATAGTCAGATTTGTCCCATGCCCCCTCTCGCCCCCCCCCCCCCCCCAGTTTATCATGAGAAAGAAGGAAACTATAATTCACAATAATATGGCTTCTTACATATAACACTTTCTTTTGTTCTTCATTGCTAAGTTCCAATGCTTTCACAACCAACCAAGAGCATTTGAAATCTTCAATATCTGTGCCTATCTGGCGCCATTGATGACTTGAATGAGAAATCCAATTTGAAGATTAAGAACAGATTGATCATTCTCAGTAACTATGATACCCACCTTTCCAATTGTTTCTGGATCACCAAAGCAATCCAAATAATCATCCTGAAAAAGAAAAAGAAGGGGAGAGGGGTAAAAACTGGAAGCTTACAGCTTTTGACATGGGGGTCGTGATAATAGTTGTACAACACATCAAGAGAGATGTAAAAAGTGAACATGCCACTTGCTCATTGACAAATAATGCTTTTGTGACCCGTCTTAATCGTGATTGTGTTAATTCCAGAGATGGGGGGTTTCCAATTTTCTACTAAATATTACCTGCACTTGGAAGTAGATTCCCATATCAACAAGGATGTTCTTTACATCAATGTGGTTATCCAGATTCTCACCAGCCATGAGCAGTGCACATCCGACCTGAGAAGATATATGATTGATCAACACAAGATCAGATATACCATAGTCGATAAAAAGAGGGGACAATACGAAAACATTTATCTCAAAAATGCATCACATTGAACAAAATAAGTTGACAATCCCATACAGAATCAACGTTTTCTAATTGTCAGCATATTTTCTTGTTAGATCAGGGAAGACAACATTCTAATAGTCTGATACAGCACAAAATAGAGCAACTGATTACGATTGGCATCTCATATGAAATACAGCAACAAACAAACCTAGATTAACACAGTTGTGGGAAGGGCTTATACTTACTGGAAGGTAAAATGAGTAATATGCAGTCTTGTACTGAACAATGCGGCGGTGACTGCACAAAACTTCTATTCGTTAATTACTCAAACACTGAACCAGGTGATTGAAAAGGAACGAAAGCAGAAAATATAATATTGCATCAAAAGGTAGAGCAGTGTCAGAGGATAAATACTAGTAACACGCAAAAATGGATCCATAGCATTTTCCCAAGCAGTGCCAATACTAATAACGTGTGATCTGGGTTAAGGGTAGCAGAAAATAGCACTAGAAATTAACCATTGCCAGGGAACAAGGATTTTCAACAGGAAAACTCATAATTATCTTGAGCAGTACTAATACACAAGTAAGCTCAGGGATGGCAGGATTAA